TATCGATATTTTTTTATCGATGATCATCGATTATTGGTTGGTAATCGTTAGTAATCGGCTAAAAAAATTTCCCGATGAAATCTAAGCCTAATGACAATGACAGAATTACTTTGTCTGTGAAATGAGCTGCCAGTGAAATATACTGACTATGAAATGAACTATTCTGTAAGTAAAATAAGCTTTGTCAGTAAAATGAGTGTCGGTGAAATGTAGTGTCTTTGAAGTAATTGTCTGTGAGTTGATCAGAACTGGCAAAATGGCAAAGGCAAAGGCAAACGGCAAAGGCAAAGGCAAATGGCAAAGGCAAATGGCAAAGGCAAAGGCAAATGGCAAAGGCAAACAGCAAAAGGGCAAAACTCTTCAGTCTGAAACATTTATGTCTGCAGATTTTTAAGAAATGAGTTAATAAATAATGCGAATAGAAAAGGTGAGATGATTAGTGAGTTAAGTTGACAAAAAGAAAAGTATACTTGCTATTAAGGCGATGCTCGCACAACCTTATCATGTCATATAGCTGTTTAAACTAAAAAAAATCATTAATTAGTCGGGTTAGAGTGAAAAAACATTCTTATAACTTATCTTTAAGTTATAAAGCTACGACTAGTTAGGGGTAAAATATTCAGTTTCGCAGTTTTGCATGAGGTATACGTAGTGTTGGTCGCCCTTACAAGTCCAAGTTTCATTAAACACTGGGTACGCGAGATCTAAAGATTATCATACTATATATATTAATTAATTATGTGAGCGAAAGTTGTTATAGCATTTACGAGTTTTACTTTAAAAAAGCAGGTTTTATATATAAAAGCCGATTTTATCTAATTAAAGGCGGGTTTACACAGATATGTGAAAGAAAAAAGCAGATTTTATCTAATTAAAGGCGGGTTTACATAGATACTTCTAAAAAAAGCGGATTTTACATAACCTAAGAAATAAACTCAGGTTTTACATAATCATCTCAGATTTTACATGATATGATTGATAAACACGGGTTTTACCAGTTGGCAACTCAGGTTTCACCCTGTCATATTATAATTTTCACCATCAACTCTTCATATGCCATCCAACCAGGTTGCTGAATATACAGAGCCAAATCCTCCTCTACCGATTTCTTTGGAATTCTTCCATCCAATCATCAATATCTTTATTTCTACTTGTTAAATTCATTACAACGTGCAAATTTACCATATTTAGAAATTCTATATATTATATAATGCTTTATTTCATATCTGTAATTTAAATTTTATATCGAATGTAAATAATTTTATACTTACCGACTAAATTAATAATTTGTACAGAATGGTAAATAATTATTATGTATTTGTTTTGTGAACTTGTTTTGCTATTTTTTATTTCATAAAATTATTAAATGTTTTTCATATTCACGAGTTGAATGAAATATTAATGCGAATGAAATGATTAATACGTAATAGCAAATAAGAATTTGCTCTTTTTTTGTGAACTTGTTTTGCTGTTTTTATTTCATAAAATTATTAAATGTTTTTTATACTCACATCTAAAAGAAATGATTAATGAAATGATTTGTACGCAATTGTAAATAAGTATTCACATTCTTGTTTTGTGAACCTGCTTTGTCATTTTTTATTCGTAAAATTATTAAATGTTATTCATTATATTTACGGACTAAAATAGCAACCAATAAATATTTGAGCTTAAATTGCTGAAATGAATTCATTTTATGCTTATCCCCTGATAATTAAAATTGTGTAAGATATTTTTGAATAAACTATAAAAAAAACATTATATTAATAAAATTAAACTACTTTTTAATCCATTCCCGGAATTTATCATGATCCTTCTCAACGCCAATTCCATATTTGTAACAAATGGCAGTTTACCAAATTCCCATAGAATTACCTGCTTCGGCAACCTTCATATATTATTTATGCTTTATTCTTATCTGTTTCAACTCCAATTCCTAAATAAATATCTTTATTTACTGATACTGTATACAACATGTTAAATTATACCGATGCAGCGCCTATAAACACTGTACGTACGTACGTACGTTGAGAAGAGTTAGACTGGATTGGAATCAGGAAAATCGGCAATATGGATATCAATCAGCGCTAAACTAATCTAAATAACACACTAAACTACTAAACTCTATCGAACCCTAATGTTGGAAGACAGGAAGGAGGCGTGGGGAGACTTGGTCCGAGTTATTAGGATCAAATAGAGCTCTAGGTTACGTCACGAGACTCTATTAAGGATCACGGGTTTATAAGATTCACTTATCGGGGCAAAACGTTTAAGTTGGGATAATAGACTCTAATTGAGTCGAACTCCAATGAGTTATACCAACTCTAGTGAGTTATCTTTATTATAGGAGGGAAACTCCTCTTTCATATAATTAATCATTACATATAACGGAATTCTAGGAATTCTAACTATGCCTACTATCCTAACTATTCTTTGAATTCTCGTAATTCCCATCATTCCTTGAATACCTCTAACCCCAATATTTCCCTGAATACCGGGAATTCCGGGAATCCCAGTAACTCGTACCACTTATAATTACAAAATTAGAAACAAAGAACGAAAATAGAATTTGTGGGTCGATTTAGCCTTTCACAACGTACAATTGTAAGTTTGTGTAACAAATTCCGGTGCTTAAAATTTTCCAAATCAAGCACATAAATTTTACACGCACATATGATTTTACACCTACTGTAGATTTGAAATCATTAATTAACTCATCGAATACGTAATTACTTAAACAATTATGGATCAAATATTTGCACCAGAGTATTTTGATATAATTTTCAGATTTCTTCCGACCATTAAAGATTTGCATTCTTGTCTCCTAGTTAATAAACATTGGGCAGCTTGTGCCATTCCAATTTTGTGGGAAGCGCCTTTCAAAATTAATAACAACTATTTTCCATCATTCAAAGTGATCAAAATCTATCTTGAATTTATACCAGATAGTACTTTTCGCAAATTGGGAGATAATAGAAGAATAGGGTTGTCTAATAGTAGACCTCTTTTTTTTAACTATCCGTCATTCCTTAAAGAACTCTCATATGATCAATTCCTTCATGCAGCTATTGCAAACAATTGCAGTAAAGATATTATAATTGAATTATCCAAATTACTTGCTGTAAATAATGTAAGATTGCACCGGTTAGAAATCTACAACAGTCTTAATTGTTATACTGAAAACCTAAATAAGATAGGATATTTGGTTATTCCTCATTTTTATGAATGCACTTCTGTATTTAGTAGGTTAACATATTTTAATTGTAGCTATCAATGGCCAGTGCAAAGAATACAACTTTTTAATGCAATTTCGAAGGACTGTCATAATATTAAAAACCTTAAAGTCAGTATTTATGATAAAAATGAAGGAATGGCTTTAGAGGGTCTTATCCGTTCTCAAAGAAATTTAAAAAAGTTCACTCTGATAAACAGTAATAATTTTGCATCACTTCCTATCCAAGCTCTTGTGAATCAAAAACATTCACTCAACAGTTTAGCACTTGAAGACATGCATTGCAACAGTAGCTTAAACAAGACAAATTTTTTTAATTATGCAGCTTGCCAATTAAATAGCAGTGCTATAAACGTACTAACTCAGTGTACAAAAATCAACAGAGTGAAGTTTAAACACTGTGAAGGGCTTAACTCTTCTGTATTTCTTCCTCTTGCTATTGCTTTTCCGAATTTAACATCCTTAGAATATTCTTATGGTTCTTATGAAATTTATGATAACGCAACCCCTATTAGATTATTATCTGGTCTCATTATAACGAGTTGCAATACACTTAAAAGAATTATACTTGACTGGCATTCCGAAGTTTATCTTGATATTACACAACTTGTCGAAATTATTGCTCAGTAAATAATAAATCTCGAGTATTTAAAAATTCCACTTTATACATTAGAACAACTTGCATTAATTCACAGAAACCATAATCAATTAAGGAAACTTGAAATTAATGTTTATAAAACAATAAATCCATATTGTGCCCTTTCTCTATTAGCAAATGTTCCACTCAAAAGCCTTGAATATTCAATTCAATTGTATTTCTCTTATCGTGGATATAATAAACTACAATACAGTCTACTAAATCAGCTCTTTGATTCTATTTTTTACAAAAGTAATCGGATTGTTGATTTTGTTTTATGCCTAGGTCTATGCATTAATTCAAGCCCTTCAATAGAAAGAAAAGAAAATCTTTTAAGAAACTATCCAAGACTTAGAATCAATACCTTGAATAGGTCTAGGTTCGTTGCAAGATTAGATTCTGAAGCATGCTATAATGAATTGCTTGAGATTTTTGATAATTTGTTAGAAATAAATTCAAATGACATATGGGCATTAAAACAACGCGGAGCAACTTATTTTAATGTAAAAAAATATACTGAGTCGCTTGAAGATTTTAACAAAGATTTAGAAGTTGAACTAAATGATGCTTATACATTAAGACTACGTGGCGAAGTTTATTATTTTATGGAAAAATACGAAAGATCATTAGTAGATTTAAACAAATCACTAGAGATTGAACCAAACAATGCATGGGCGTTAAAACTTCGCGGAATTACTTATTCTATGGTTAATAGATTTGAGGAGTCACTTAACGATTTAAATAGATCTTCGAAGATTGAACCAAATTACTCATTTGCAATGAAAAAACGCGATGAAATTTATTGTAATATGAAAGGATATGATAAATCATTCATGGACTTGCTAATAAATGAAATTCTCAATATAGATCCAAATAACATATTTGCATATGAATCACTCACGAACTTAAATGAATATCTCAAAATAGGTACAAATAATGCAATTGCGTATGAAACACTTATGAAATTTAATGAAATTCTCGAAATAGAACCAAATAATGTATTTGCATTAAATTATAGTAGCGCAATTTATCTGGCAATGAAAAATTATGATGAATCATTTGTAAACTTAAATAAATCTCTCAAAATATATCCTGACGATGAATTTGCGTTAAAAATTCGTGGAACAATTTATTGTATTATAAAAGAATATGATAAGTCGCTTGTAGATTTGAGTAAATTTCTTGAAATAGAGCCAAATGATACATTTGCATTAAAACTTCGTGGAACAATTTACAGAATAATGAAAAATTATACTAATTCACTTGCAGACTTCAATAAATCCCTTATATTAGAACCATGTGATGCATTTGCATTAAAACATCGTGGTGCAACTTATCTAATGATAGAGAAGAAAGAAAATTTATCGTCTTGGTTTTTGATTAATGATAAATATCGAAATAGTAATGAATATTATTATGAATATGATAAATCACTTGCAGATTTAAATAAATCACTGGAAATTGAACCAAATGATGCATTTGCGTTAAGATATCGTGGAATAAATTATTGCAAGACAAGGAAGTATGAGATATCACTTAATGACTTAAATAGTTCACTAAAAATTGAACCTAACAACGCATTTACGTTACAACTACGTGGTATAACTTATTATTACATGAGATTATACGATAAATCACTTGAAGATTTAAATAATTCACTAGAAATTGATCATAACAATGCAGATACTTTAGGAAATCGTGGAAGGACTTATTATATGATGGAAAATTATGAAAAATCACTTGCAGATTCAAATGAATCACTAAAAATTGAGCCAACTAATGCAATTGCGTTAGGAAATCGTGGTGCAATTTATAGAATAATGAAAAGATATAATGAATCACTTGTAGATTTAAATGTGTCCCTTGAAATAGAACCAAATAATGGATTTGTGTTAAAAAATCGTGGTGCAACTTATCTTATGATAAAGAAAATAAAGAAAGAAATAGTCTATTCTCGCTATTATCATATATATGATTCATGCCTCTTTGATGATTATAAATATCAAAATTCTAATGAATATGAAAAATCGCTTGCCGATTTAAATAAATCACTGGAAATTGAACCAAATGATGCATTTGCGTTAAGATATCGTGGAATATATTATTGTAAGATTAAGGAATATAGAATGTCACTTAATGACTTAAATAGTTCACTAAAAATTGAACCGAATAACGCATTTACCTTACAACAAAGTGGTGTAACTTATTATTATATGAAATTATACGATAATTCACTTGAAGATTTAAATAAATCATTAGAAATCGATCCAAATAATGCAGATACTTTAGGAAATCGTGGAAGGACTTATAATATAATGAGAAATTATGAAAAATCACTCAAAGATTCATATGAATCACTAAAAATTGAGCCAACTAATGCAATTGCGTTAGGAAATCGTGGTGCAACTTACAGAATAATGAAAAAATATAATGATTCACTCGAAAATTTAAATAAAGCCCTTGAAGCAGAGCCTGATAATGCATTTGCATTAAAAAACCGTGGTGCAATTTACAGGATAATGAAAAGGTGTGATGAAGCACTTGCAGATTTAAATAAATCTCTCGAAATAGAGCCAGATGATGCATTTGCAATAAAAAATCGTGGAGCAATTTATCTTATGATAAAGAAAATAAAGGAAGAAAATTTAGGCTTTTCTTGCTATTTACATTATTCTTATATATATTATTCATGGCTTTTTGATGAATATGAATATCGAAATTGTAAAGATTATGAATATGAAAATTCGCTTTCAGATTTAGATAGATCACTGGAAATTGAACCAAATGATGCATTTGCGTTAAGATACCGTGGAATAAATTATTGTAAGACTAAGAAATATAAGCTGTCACTTAGTGATTTAAATAATTCACTAAAAATCGAACCGGGTGATGCATTTACTTTACAATGGCGTGGTGTAACATATTATTATTTGAAATTATACGATAAATCATTTGAAGACTTAAACAAGTCACTAGAAATCGACTCAAATAATGCAGATACTTTAGGAAATCGTGGAAGGACTTATTATATGATGGGAAATTATGAAAAATCACTTGCAGATTCAAATGAATCACTAAGAATTGAGCCAACTAATGCAATTGCTTTAGGAAATCGTGGCGCAATTTATAGAATAATGAAAAAATATAATGATTCACTTACAGATTTAAATAAAGCTCTTGAGATAGAACCTGATGATGCATTTGCATTAAAAAATCGTGGTGCAATTTACAGAATAATGAAAAGATATCTTAAATCATTTAGAGATTTAAATAAATCACTTGAAATAGAACCAGATGATGATGCATTTGCATTAAAAAATCGTGGTGCGACTTATCTAATGATAGAGAAAGAGGATTTAGGCTATTCTTGTTTCTGGTATTATCGTAATTTTAATAATTATGAATATGAAAAATCACTTGCAGATTTAAATAAATCATTAGAAATTGAACCAAATGATGCATTTGCGTTAAGATATCGTGGAATAAATTATAGAAAGACTAAGAAGTATGAGAAGTCACTTAATGACTTAAATAATTCACTAGAAATTGAACCAAATGATGCATTCACATTACAACAACGTGGAGTAACTTATTATTATATGAAATTATACGAAAAGTCACTCGTAGATTTGAATAAATCATTAGAAATTGATCCAGATAACGCCGATTCATTAAAAGATCGTGCAAATACTTATTTATCATGTTAATAATGGTCACACCCAAAGTGCCAATGAAAGGGCTATCTATATCAGACTAAATCCGTTAATTTCGAAGTGATTTAAATTGAAAATGACGAATAAAATGAAATTTCTTGGAAGGATCTGAAATAACAAGATCTAATGATTAAACAAACAAATATTTCTCAGGAAAAAAGTTCATTTCTTGGCAAGGTTCAGTAGAATAATACATATCTTTGGTAACACAATAAAACCTAATTACGTTTTCATTGATTTTTTAAATTCATTATAAATGAAAGTATTAGAACAGCGTGTTGTCACTTGACCGAAAGTGCAAAAATTTGTTTGGCTGAAAAGTGTCAAATACATCTGGTAATATGATTGACTAATATTATATAAATTAGAAACTTTTGGCCAAAGCTAGATTATTGACCAGGGGGTGGCTAAAGGCCAAAAAATCGGTTAACCGCAAAAATTGCCAGCAAAGGATTATAATGATTTATTATAGTTTACTAATAAATTTATAAAATAATTTAAAAAAAAATAACACTTTTATTTAATATACCTATATTTAGTCTGTCAAATTTTCTAACCCCTTAGATATTGTAAGTAACGGTTATTAATTAAAATTTCTAGCATTATAGACTTTTTAATATTAAAGAATTATCCAGGTCTGCTAGTGATTTATCATATTCTTTCATATAAAAATAAATTATTCCACGCTGTCGTAATGCAAATGCATTTTTTCGCTCAATTTCTAGCGATCTATTTAAATATTTAAGTGATTTGTTATAATCTCCGTCTTTATAGTAAATTGCTCCAAGGTATCCTAGTGCTAATGAATCTTTTGGATCAATATTTATGGCGGTTTGCAAAAAGGTGTGACCCTGTGATTTCGTGATGATGATAGCAGAAAAATTTCCGAGATTTTAATTC